CTAGGATTTCCAGAACCAAAGTGTCCACCAAACAGAACATGTCCTTTTGTCCTATTATGCAACTCCTGTATCAACTGAGCATTCAGTGCAATTGTGATTTTTCTTTGTTGTTTCTGTTCCCTTGTCTAATAACTGTTGCAAGCAGCATTTTTACATGCAAATGATTAATTAAGAGTGTTTACATAGCTGAAGATGGTAGTGTGTATTAGACGTGTGTACCTGCTTTTGTCTGTGATTCTGTTTCTAAAAGAGGCCCATACGTTTGCACGTCTTTAGAAAAGCATCTGACAAATACAGTGCATATGAACATGTGTGCCAAAGTGTCTGGAGTGTGACCACCACTCAGCCTAATTTTGAGGCTTTGAAACTTACAAGGCCAACGCAGCTGCTCCTCATCAACTAATTAAGTTCAAAGCGAGAAAATGATCGTTAGCTGGGCCAGCGTTAAACCAGTTCTGACCTGTTTGTGCCTCGTTAACTACAGTGATGCGAAGACGCAGTGGGACAACACTCCCACCTCATAAACACACACATACTAATCTCATTGGTTCACAAATATTGTTTCAACACTGCGCAGACTCAACAGCATTGCCAACTAAATAAGGTCAGTGTAATTGGGTCAGGCCCTCCTCTGAGACGTTCAATATGTGATGTATAGCCATCCTGTCTTGTATGTCCAAGTCCACTTTCTAGATATAATGCCTTTTTAACCATTCACCTTAACACCATAGATACAAATGGACACTGACAGACATCTCCAACTCTGCATAGTTTACCTTTAGCAACTCAGGGATATTTTCGTTTTAAGCAAGAGGATATACAGTATCATTCAAGATGTCAAACTCAATCATACGTGAGCTTTAGTTATAATGAAACAGTGCCATTAATACAGGTTCTATTTGACTGAATCACCTGTATTTCAAGCTGCAAGGCTGAATTAGAAGTCACTTTCTGTTTTTTGAATTGGTGAATAGGTTTTTTGAACAAGACCAACTTTGGCAGACGGATTGTTTGGATTGGTGAAGCTGTATGTGGTCGTTATTAGGTTGAGTTTGGTTATCACTGAAGTATATTTTTAACCTGTGTCACATCAAGTCAAGAATAGACCAGAAAGAGCCCTGGTACTATGAAAAAGATCACACTCAACACACGTAAAACAACGGACATGTCAGCCTCTAGAAAATGAATGAAATCAACTGGTCAATGGATACATTTAAACACAAATCGCGATCGTGGCTCAAGAGTTGAGAGTTTGTAATCAGAAGGTTGCTGGTTCGAGCCCTGGCTTGGACAGTCTCGGTCGTTGTGTCCTTGGGCAAGACACTTCACCCGTTGCCTACTGGTGGTGGTCAGAGGGCCCGGTGGCGCCAGTGTCTGGCAGCCTCGCCTCTGTCAGTGCGCCCCAGGGTGGCTGTGGCTACAATGTTGCTGCCATCACCAGTGTGTGAATGGGTGGATGACTGGTTGTGTAAAGCGCTTTGGGGTCCTTAGGGACTAGTAAAGCGCTATACAAATACAGGCCATTTACCAGGCCATTTACAAAGACCTCCATCACATAGTTTACATTGTGTCCACTGACTCAACTCTCTGAGAGCCACTGTCGTCACAGTGATATACAAGTGGGTGAACAGAGACGGTAAAAC